GAGAGGGAGAGAGGGAGGGGGGGGCGGGTTCGTCTTCCATCGGTCACATCTCGCTGTGGGAGGGGGATTGATAGCAGCTGCCTTTGTGGTAACAGAGACAAGAGAAGCCAGTGACTCACTGTCGATCCACACACAGCACATTGCGACTCTACCTGAGCTGCACCTTGATCAGCCGATAGGAGGAAGGTGATGAGGACATAAAGGAACTTTCTTATGGCTTTCGGCTGTTTTTAACTGGCTCTTGACCGCGCATTTCTCTCCGATTCGGGCATCAAATAAAGTCAGAATGCATGTTATTGATTCATAAACACCAGATGGCGGTGAGCTGAAATATTACTAAAACACATATGAGTGTGCTGGGATAGGACGAGGTGTCCCCCGCCACCTCAACGCTTTTATAAAAACTGCGGACAACTTCGCTTTTATCGGTGGCGGACCTTCTATTTTGCTCATTAATTTTGTCAGACATCATCCGACCTCCTCCTCCTCCACCTCCTCTTCCTCCCCCAACAGTCTCCACTTGATAAGAGTACATTCACCGAGGAGACTACAGCCTGCCTGCGGCCAAAGGGAATCAAATACCAGTTCAGTCAAGAGCAACACAGGATTGGACCCCCACAAGGATGCTACTCCAGCACAGACACCACTAGACGGTCCAAACAGCCGCTGCCAATATGTTTAGGCGAGGTAAGAGACAAGAATTCACTTGTTTTTGCTGCTGGTGATGTGGAGCGCATGTTTGGTTGTTGGTTTATTGCAGTGCGTTCAACTCTGTGAGTTGGTACAAATTCGTGGAGTGCTTTTTTATTCATAAGATTATGGCTAATTGAGGACGCAGAGGAGCCTCTCAGTGCTGCCTTAACAACTTACCAGCCGCCCATTATCCGCTCTGGCACCAGGGGCTGGAAAGGGAATTAAATATTTATCTACTACATGTTAATTTTTTTTAATAGCGGACCGCTGCCGCACTGCAGTTTGTAGGACTTGTCTGGACGAGGATGGCTGGTGCTGTTGCCGCGGGCGCGAGTGCGTAAAGAAACAGAAAGAGTGCCTAAAAATTAGGCTGTCGGGGGAAAAGTACCTTTTGCTACATAAGTTGGCCACTTTTTGTTCTTGTGCGAGTGTGTGATTAAACTGGCGTGGCAGAATGTGGCGCACCAGTCTGGCAACAGCTGGATATTTTGACTTCTTTGTGCACTTAGGGAGAAGGCGGCTTTCCCATCGGGTTCGTGAGCCTAGTGAGGATAACAACCGGCAGACACGAGACTAATAGGACGCACCCAAACACCTCGCTGCTGACTCTCACACACTGGCAAGCGTCTGTTTTGTGGCGAGAGAAGGTATTAGGTTTTACCACAACGACCTTGCCTGTGTAGCATGTGTTTACAGGGGAGCATCAAACCCGCACACAGCTTCTTTTCTATGCATGCATGCGCACATGAACGTACACGTGTGCCAAAAGGAGGAGGTCCTATTAACATCACTTCTGACAAACAACAAAAAGCCATTGCACGAATCGATGTTCCATGTTTAAAATACCACACAGTAATAACTGAAAATATGATGCAACGCATGAAAGCACAAACAGAGACGTTTTATGAAGAAGTATTTGTGGAGTGGTGACTCATTTGTCAGTTGCCCTCCCTTAAAATAAAACAGTGAGGCACCGGTGGAAGGCATGCTGTCAGGATATTGGGAAGTGAAGACTGTAGTACACAGCTGACTGAAACCCCAGAACATAAAAAAAACATTCTTCAATAGAGCCACTGGAAGGCATTTCAATGCAGCCCAGTGCGAAGGAGGGAAGCAACCTGCACACATCCCTGCACATCATTATCTATTAGCTCACTCTGTTGGCCCCAGTCAGGACATAAGCCAGGTGCCCTCCTCATTAAGGGTGGGGCCTAATGGACTTGACACAGGGCTGATTAGTGTTGTCATTGTGTGAATGCTTGTGCTGTATACCACAAAGCAAAAGAGAGATAGTGAGAGCTGGCTGGTTGGAGGGAGACGAGCTTTAATTTTAATCTTCCTGTAATTTCAGATGGATAGCACCCGCCCACACACACACACACACACACACAACACACCCGTGATGGCTGATGCTTTGCTTTGCATCTCCTCCTACAAATATGTGGCTGTCAGTAATGATAATAAAATGCAGAGTAATTGTGCGGTCTGTCTGAGATACAGTTATCTGTGTCTGTCACCTTTACCCACAGTACCTCTCTGCAGTGGGATGAAAACAAAGAGAGAGTGAGGAGAAGGAGGATAAGTGTTTTTGTGTAATGAAAACTCCCTCTCTCTTTCTCCCCTGGTTTGTCTCTTGTTCTTTCTCTATCTCTCTGCTTGGCCAGTTCCTGCTGCCAGCCTCAGCCTGAGAGGAGAGAGGCCTGCCAGGCTGGCTGGCTATTTTGGGCGGCTGCCGCAGCTTTGTTTCCCACCTTGTTTGAAGCTGGATTTGTTTCCCTTACTTGACTTGGCCTCTGTTTCCAACTTTTCAGCTGTGTCTTTATTTATAAGATTTTTCACATACACACTGACACTATGTGAACGCAAACCTTAAAATAAGTAATGAAAATAGACATTTTATTAATAAAGGCTTTAAAAAGGCTTGATTATGCTCAGTCATGTTTGCATGTGGCTAATCATGACTTTTATTATTGAATCTATCATATGACCAAGAAAAGCATCAATCCTCACATTTAACAAGCTGTAACCAGCACATTCTCTGATATATTACCCTTCTATAGACAGTTTTCTTTACATCATTGAGAAATGGCCCTGCAATAAACAAACTCAGCTGCAGACCAATTATTCTACTTTAACTCAGGGCTACATAATTTTAGGCCATAATTTCACCAAACTGCTATCCTCCAAAATGTTATGACTTAAGAAATCTCTATGATTCAAGACCTAGAGATAAGTGTATGCAAACGTTTGCTAAATGAGCTGAAGAAATAAATTTCTACTGGTGGTGGAAATGGAGTGAGAAATAAAGAGTGATTTAGAAAACAGTTAAAACTATGATTATATAATCTATTGTTTGGTCCACATGCTAGTTCAATAACAAAACAAAAAAAAAATCACTTGTACAAAAGTATGTATGCTTGAATTAAACTGATATGGTTTGTAATGTCATCTCACAATTAACTCAGATTTAATCAATATAGTGTGATGTATCTATAACAGGTGTTTGCAGGTGGTTTCATACAACACAGACAGTTGTCCCCCTCCATCACAACTGTATGCAACCGCATTTTAAGCCTGTATTTGTGTCGGTTTTTGCAAACTGCTAACTAAAAATACGTCAAATTAGCTAGTAGGAGTTCCTGTTTACAATTTGTCTAAGCATGTACAGAAAACAGTCACTGGATTATTTTTAAGCTTAAACGGGATGATTCTCAGGCAAGTTCTAGCAAGTTATAATAAGTAGGGTTGGACCCAGTTATTCAACTATTCAGATCACTGGGTAGATAACTGATTTTCAATTTTGGTATCCAAACATTCCAGACAGCAGGAAATTTCAATGCAGTCAGAGTCTGATGATGAAGAGGAAAGAGAACATGACAGGGACGGGCTTGTTCTGCTAGCTAGTACTTACATCTCTTAAAACATTCTGAAAACCTTAATGTGTGATTTTTCTGCGCACTTATGGACATTCATTCACTAATTTAACTAAACCACACTAATTCCTGTTCTGATTGGACTGCTCAGAACGATTTTTGACACACCTGTGCCTCTCACATCATGCAGCAGCTTTGCCTTATGTCTCTCTGTCCTTCAACCTCTGATCTACACAGTTCATAAAGACTCTAGCAACAGCATAACAGTATGTAGTGTCTATGGATTTGATGGTGTTTGTGTGTTATATTAAGACGCACGTTTAATTTATATAAAAGCCAGAATGATTTTGTTTTATTAGCAAAGAGTTTATTTTGTGGGAATAATGTTATGAAATCTGAGTAAACACTTGTGAATAAGTACAACTACTAATTTTTGAGTCGTGACTTGTTATCGTTAAGTCTTAACATGATTTCATCCTCTCGCTTCACTTTCGGTCACTCCAGTCTATTTTAATCCATGAAAATTTGCAATATCTAGTGTATAGTGAAATGTTGTACACTATAACCTTCAGCCATGATAATCCATAACCAACTTTAGCTCTGTAGTGAAATTCACTGATCAGTTTCAGTATATGATGGTAAAATTGCAAATGACTGTTCCAATCAGCCTGTAGCCTCAGCGTCACCCAAGGGCCAGCGGCCTTCTCTGGGCCCACAAAGTCTGGCCTGAGTATGAACCTTTCCAACAGTTTTACAGAATTTGAGAGGTGTGAGACATTTGTCCTGATTTGTAATATGTTCATGCAGAAATGTTGACAGTCAGGAAGTAATGAGTGCCAATTATTTTGAAACAATCTGATCTCCAAACTGTCTGTTTCTTCTCATAGGAGGGGTTTTATTTAATCTATTTTTTAGTCTCACCTTTGAAAACACTGTCACATACTCACTGCATCTCATCCTTACTTTTTCTGTCTTACTTTTTCTGACATTTGCAGTGACACATACTTTTTGCCTGCAGACGACTGACAAGTCTGCAGTCAAACAATTAGAAGTGGTTGTTACTCTTTTGTGTTGCTGTGTGTGTGTGTGTGTGCATTTACTAGTATCTATGATAGCCTTGGTGGATGATAATAGCATATGGATTAGTGACAAAATGTTTACTCGGGTCGTGAGGCACCAAATGGTGGGGTAAATGAGTGTTGAGATTGATCCAAATTTGCTCTTGCAGTACCAACATCCTGAGGCAGTGGACAGCTTTTACAGAGGAGCACAATATAGAGAATGTAATGCTTTTTCGGTGTTCTGTGGATATATCATACTGGAGCAGTAACTTATCTTGAGACTGGACGACTTGGACGGAATTAATATCAATTATATGTCTAATGAAAGTCATAGCAGAAAAGAGGATGAAACGCATCACCACACAGAGAGAAAGCGTCCTCGCGATGGCCGTGCATATCAATGACCTCTGTAACTGCTCCACCTGCTTGATCTCAAGGTCACTCACAGACTCCTTCTTCTGCCACTTCTGAGCTCAGTGTGCTCTGCCTGCAGAATTTTGTTTTATCATTCATTTGCACAACAATTTTCTGTGAATTTACAATCGATGTAAAAATGCATTAGAATAATTACAGGGACTGGTGTTTTACAGCTCTGAGCTTCTCAAGCTGTGAACTCTCACAAACACAATGCAAAAAAATGAAACACTTAATGAGCAGATATTGTTTTTATGCTAAATTAACAAGTGCTACAAATTATGCTGCATGAACATGACATGGCCCTGCTGTTTAATTCCAAAATGCATAAGAAACAAAGTTATATCACACATTTATTCTTGCATACATACAAGCAGTCCGATTTCTTTTTTTTTTCTTACAGCTACTGTTGGGCTAGTTCCACACTGTGTATGTGTTTGTGTGTGTGAGGGAGACAATGAGGGAAAGTGGAAAGTGTGAGAAGTGTGAGAAAGGTTTGGGGTGAAAAGAATATAAATGCATATCACACAGCAAGAACAGTATTCATAAGAGATTTGTGATTGTGTGTGTGTGCATCAGATATCACAGTGTAAATGTGAGAGCTGTAGCACGAGAGGAACACTGTACAAGAACACAGAAACAGAGA